TCCAACTCTGGGTTCAGGTTTGAACTCTGAGTTTGTTAAACCGCCTTCTTGAAATAGGCCCCAGGACTCCACTGCCCTATCTGCTGAGCATTTACCACCACAGGGTGCACAGGAAAGCTGCCTCCATTCTCAAGGACCCCCACCCACCCCAGCATGGACTGTTTATACCCCTACCCTCCAGTCGAAGGCTCAGAAGTGTGAAATACAGGATCTCCAGAATGAAAAACTTTTTCCTTCCCTCTGCCATCAGACTCCTAAACAGCTGACTCAGGATCTACCTCATGTAATTCCATCTGTACTGTTTACATACTCATTTTGCACATGCATAGTTGCACACTCACTGCTGAGTATTTGCACCCCACGGCTCTCCCACAGCATATATTCTCTCTGCATTATATTGTGTTCTTGTTGTATTTTTATTTGCTCCCTTCACTTGCTGCTTTAAAGTGCCTTAGATTTGTGATTTTACTGCCTATTTAGATTTGTGTTATTGCTCATCTACTTTATATTTCACGTTTTATGTGGCATTCATGTGGAGGTCAAAGTAAGAATTCCGTTGTACAGGGAAACACGTTTCTGAACTGTTCATATGACAAATAAACACTGACTTTTGACCTTTGTATAATCTGTACAATGTATATTTACAGGTATTGCACTGAGGGTTATTATCCAGTCATACTGTCATGGTGTCGTGGGTCAAGTGTTCATCAGAGTGATGGCCCAGGGGAAGAAACTGTCCCTGTGCCTGGTTGTCTTGGCGTACAGTGACCTGTAAGGCCGTCCAGAAGGGAGGAGCTTACACCAATGACCTTTTCTGCAGTCCTGACTGTCCAATGAAGTTTGTACTTGTCCTGTTTGGTTGCTGAGCCAAACCAGACAGTGATGGAGGTGCAGAGAACAGACTCAATGATTCCTCTGTAGAACTGTACCAGCAGCTCCTAGGACAGGTCGAACTTTCTGCACAGGAAGTACATCCTCTGCTGTGCCTTCTTGGTGATGGTGCTGATGGTGCATGCCCACTTCAGGTCTGGAAAGATAGTGGATAGTGGATCCCAGGAACTTGTAGGACTTTACTGCTGATACAGTGCTGCTAAGTATGGTAAGTGGGGGTAAGGTGGGAGGGCTCTTCCTGAAGTCCACTGTCATCTCCACTGTTTTAAGCATGTTCAGCTGCAGGTTGTTGCAGCTACACAACAGGACCAGCTGCTCAACCTCCCATCTGTAGGCTGACTCGTCGCCGTCTCGGATGAGACCAGTGACTGTTGTATCATCAGCAAACCTTAGGGGTCCTTCAAGATGCAGTCGTTGGTGTAGAGTGAAAACAGCATACATCCCTGAGGGTGCCTGTGCTTATTGTCCAGGTGCTGGATGTGGTTTTCCCCAGTCTCACCAGTTGCTTCCTGTCTGTCAGAAAGCTAGTAATCCACTGACAGGTGGGGGCAGGCACAGTGAGCTGGGTCAGTTTGGAGCAGAAGGTGTCCGGGATGATGGTGCTGAGCTGAAGTCCACAATGTAATGCAGTGCACTGCAGCAGGGGATCTATGGTGTCTTTCAGGTGGGCCAACACCAATCTTTCAAAGGACATAACTACAGATGTCAGGGCGACTGGACTGTAGTCGTTCAGTCCACTAGAAAGTTACTTTCGGCTTTTCTCCTTTTTTAGGGTCGCCACAGCAAATCGTCACACTGACGACTCGCATGTTGACATTTGGCACATGTTTTACGCCTGTCCTGCATGCCCGTCCTGACTTAACCCTGATTCGAACCTGGGCCACAGTGGTGAGAGCACTGCGCCTTAACCACTAGCCTACCAGGGATGGCTATAGTCGTTCAGTCTACTGATGGAGGTTTTGTTGGGGACTGGAATGATAGTGGAGCGTTTGAGGTGGGGGGGGGACTTCACACAGCTTCAGTGACATGTTGAAGATGACTGTGACGATGGGGGCCAGTTGATCAGTGCACACTTTCAAGCAGGAGGGGGTCATGCCATGTGGGCCTAATCAAAAGTAAATCCAAAAATAACAAAAAATAGAAAATATGAGATTAACTTATTATAAAAAATATTGGGACAAACTCAGAAGTGCATTACTACAGCTTGTTTAGAAATGAAATGGCAGCGGGAATAAAGTTTTTATAGTGCCCGGTTTTATACTGTGGGACTAAAAACCTCTGCCCAAAGGGAAGAAGCTGAAAATCACTGGGCAGAGTGTGCAATTTGTCATTTAAAATGGTATTGGTCATCTGCTGTAACTGTCTAGTATACAGGGTTCAGTTGTGACTCACCAATCAATTTACTTAACCATTTTACAACTTGATTAAGAGTTCCTGTTCTTTACAGAAAGACTTCCAAACCATGACACAAATGAAAAAGATCAAATCAATTCAATAGTGTAGCTGCTGGTGCCGCTTTATACAAACCACTTAACAATTTTTTTCAAAGTTCAGTTTTGAATCAATAATTGTCCCAAGGTATTTACAGTATAAGATGACACTGTTAGGTATTTTTAGTCAGATAGACACTGGTTAGACACTTCATGTATTAGAAATGTTTAGTGTAGACAGGATGTCTAGCTCAGGCTGTTAAATGCTTAGTCATTCCCATGGGGTACTCCAGGTTGTTTATGTTCAAGGATAACTAGATAGAAAGTTGATTACTGTTAGAAGACAGAATGTTTATTGTTATGACGTGTTTAATCATAATCGTAATCATAATATTTTCTTATGCTTAATGTCATGACATGTCACTAGATGTCATGTCAGAATGTCTTAGCTACACACCACACAATCAACAGACAATCACACATTGATTTTCTTCATGCTTTGACTACTGCTATGGTCAGCTGCAAAGCTGGCACTGGAGATGTCACGGTTTGGCGTCCCTGAGTAGTATGGGCTAGCCCAAAGTGATATAATGTATAGGCCTGTTATGGTTCAGGGCTTTTCATCTTCCAGCTGCCTGCATGTATGTTGGAGGTGCAAAGACTCCTAAGCGTGTAATGTTAATTTTGCCTGTGATCATTGAATAAATCAGCACTGTTTTGAAGTTACTCGGACTGCTTCGTCTCTCAGAGTTAACGTGGTGAAAAGAATGGGGGTCCAACAACTGTTTTGACCACAGGCTTTGCAGCTTTAAGTTTCTGCCTGTAGGTTGGAATAAGATGGACCATACAGTGATCAGAGCATCCAAGGGTTGCACAGGGGACAGAGCAATAGACATCTTTTACCTTTGTGTAGCAGTGGTCCAGTGTGACAGGTGACATGCTGTCTGTATTTGGGCAGTTCATGGGAGGTATTTGGGCAGTTCGTGGGAGAGATTTGCTTTGTTAAAGTCCCCTAGAACAATGAGTGGAGAGTCAGGATGTTCTACCTCCACGCTAGTTATCTGTTGTGACAGGAGCTGTAGTGCGCTAGTGTGGGCCTGCAGCTTTAAATAGACACCCACCAGGACGAAGCTCGAAAATTCTCGGGCAGAACAGAAGGGTTTGCAGTTGATAAAAAGAGTCTCTAAGTCTGTGTTACATGTCCTCTGTAGCACTGTGACATCTGTGCACCAACCTTCATTTATGTAGAAACAGATTCCACCTCCTCTCATTTTCCCGGACAGCTCCATTGCATGATCCGCTCTGTACACCTGGAAGACTGGTACTTGTATCGTGCTGTCCGTGATCGAGTCGCTCAACTAGTTCTCCGTGAAGCACAAGCAGCAGAGCGTGCAAAGTCAGAGTTACAGTAGTCCTGTTGACGAGAAGAATTTCATCCATCTTGTTGACCAGGGAACAAAGATTCGCTAGGTGGATAGATGGGAGTGGAGTCCGGGTCCCTCTCTGGCGTAGCCTCACCAAGGTGCCCGCTTGCTTGCCATGGCGGCATTTTTTCCAGGTCTCGTATATGGCAGCTGCACCTCCGATCAGAATGTCCATACAGCATTCTTCGTTCACAACAATCGGTGAAAGGTAGTTCGGTGTGAGTTGTCCGATATTTAACAGTTCTTCTCTCGTAAAAGTAATCCGGGATGGGTTGCAAAAGACCGAGAAAACAAAGAAAAACAACAAACACAAGAGAGCGCGAGTAACCAGTGCTGCCACCTCTGGCGCCATCTTACTGTTCAACCAATCATCACTTTTTTTTTTTACATTTATACTCATTTATATGAGATTAAAGCTAAATTTGTATTGTTCATCTGTCATGCAGCCCAAGTCTGTATTTTCAGTTGGACATAACTATAAGATTGCTTTATTACACTGTGTAACTGTCAAACTGTGCCAACTCTGCACTACCTTGCTGATACACTGGATATATCTATTTCTTGTACAAAATTTGTGAAATAAAAGTAAATTAGCAAAATGTGAATCTTTCAGTAAAAGTAATTAAAACCAAATTTATGAAGCCTGCCAGAAATGTAATCATTTAAACAGTTTTGCTTATTGAAATGATAGCTTATTAATTCATTTATTAATTTTATTAATTTAATGGTATTAAGAAAATTATTTTTAAATCTATAATTGTTTATCTTAAATATTATATTATAGAACTATTAGCTTACCGTTACTATCTACATATCCACATTACTACCCACATCCTTTATCAGTGGGTACAGAGAACCAGTCTAAGACTAGTCAAAACCAAACACAGACCCCCTAGGTTTGGACTACACCCCAAATGTTTACAACGTCTGGCTACACCCCTTCCTGTGACTGGCCTTAACTGCAATAAGAGAAAAATACATCTACCCACTTTATCAGGGTACCATGCGAAGATCTGCATAAATCCCATTAAAAGGTACTTTTAGATGTAGGTTACCCGCCCCTCAACCACCCACACACGCTGTTTTCGTCACTTATGGGGTCTTTATATTGACTTACATCTATTTCAGTCTGACAGGTGTTCTGAAGGTAGAAAGAAAGAAAAGAAGTTTTGGGTTCCCACAGGTATAGAAAGACAAGGCCAAGCACACACATATGCTGCCATGCTAGTGTCAGTGCCAGGCAGAGCAAACCCACCTTGTGCATCCAGCGTTGTCTCGTCCAACAGCAGAGGAACTGAGCAGGCTGTCTTCACCAGTCTATGGGATCTTCTTTTACTGATCTCCCTGTAAATTATTAAGGCAATCATGCCCAAGCCGACTGTAGCTCCGACAGCAAGCCCAATTAGGCCGTTCCTTCCGAGCGGTGTGTTCATTTTTCAGCACTCGCAGGTCGCTTATAACATTAATGAGTCTCAGGATGCCAGCGACATTACGCAAATCAAACGACCTTAGCGTTACTTCAGAAGATAAGGTTGGCGGCTTTCTCCTTTCCGTTAGTACGTTAGCCTAACGTTATTAGCCTCTCACTGTTACAGCGTTCACTGGTTAATAAGATACTGACGACTTTTATCAAGCTTGACGCAAATGTTTAAAAATTCACTTGGGACCTTACTTATATATTTCGACGACCCGTTTTAAAGCTAAACTATCTTCTTTACATGAAGCTGCGCAAATGGTCTTAATTTAGCAAGAAAGATGCTGTGGAAAATACACAACGTAATTGTACCACATAAACGCCAGAACTAGTCTAACACATGGGAGATAACTTCCGGTTTCAACTTACAAAATAAATGTGTTGACAAGCGAGCTGCAAAACTGTTTTCCGCCGGGAATATAGAATAAATCTTTATTCGCAAAGTAAAGCAATATAATATTAAAAAGACACATGCAAGTCTAAATTATATTTAAAATCACCAAACTAAGTAAAAAGTCTAATTTACTAAATTCAGTGTAGGCCTGTTTAAAATGAGATTATGTTGAAATGTTGAGACACTGAGGCAAAATTATGATTAAAAAATACAAAACTGAAATGATGAGGGCTATACACCAATCAACCACAACATTTTGGCTGACAGTTGAAGTGAGTAATGATACTGATTATATTGTCACAGTGGCACCTGTCAGTGTGTGGGGTATATTATGCAGCAGGTGAACATTCAGTCCTGGAATTTAATGTGTTGGAATGGGAAGGACAAACAGTGAACTGGTGACAGGGTCATGGATGCTCAAAACTCACTGATGATGAGGTTGACCTATTGTGTATTAAACTTTTAAAGTTTATTCATCCTTTATAAAAGATTCAGTTTTGTTTGTCTTTGTTAAAATGGTTGAAAATGCAAAATACACATTTGTCTTTATGAAGACGTTCAGTGGCTATAGTATGGTGATGATATCGCACCTAGAGTCAGGAGGCTGTTGGATTTGTCTCAACAATTATCTCTAACTTGTCCTCATTACCAGAGTTTGTAAGGAAGAAATCTTCTTGAGTATTTTTGTAAGTAAGGGGTAAGGCTGCAAACCATTAGTAAATGGTTGTGATCTCGGGGCCCTCAGGTGACACTGCATCACAAAACTGTCCTATGGTCTGTTAAGTCAGAATTTGAGTTTTTTTTTTTTGGAAATCGAGCTAAAGAAGAGAGGGACCATCCTGCTTGCTATAAGCACACAGTTCAAAAGCCAGCATGGGGGTGCATTTGGGCAAATGGTATAGGTAGTTTGCACATTTGTGAAGGCACCATTAATGTTGAGTCAATGTCCAGACAATTTTATTTTTCATAGAAGTACTTGCTTGTTTCACAAGACAATGCCAAGCCACATTCTGCAGGTATTCCAGCAGCATGGTTTTGTAATAAGAGTTTGGATGCTAAACTGCAGTCCAGACCTGTCATCCACTGAAAACATTTGGCACATATTGATTTCACAATTAAAGCAGGTGGTCTCCTCTGTTCCCAAATGCTTACAGAGTGTTGTTAAAAGAAAAGGCAATGCAATATGGAGGTGCCTCAGCTTTTTTGAAATGCGTTGCTGGCATCAAATTTAAAATGAACATACATTTTTCAAAAACAACAAATGATTTCCTTTTCAGCATTTGATAGCTATCTCGTCTCTTTACTATTTTCAATTAAATATAGGTTTTAAATTATTTGCCAATCATTGCATTCAGTATATATTTACATTTTACACAGCATCCCAACTTTTTTGAAAATGTGGCTGTATTGAAAAGACTCTAACCCTGAAAAATTAAACCACATAGAATGGCTATGTTGTGTGGGCCTGGTGGGTTGGAGTGGACTTTAAACTTCTCCACAACTTTATCCCTGATCTGTCTGGTGTGTTTCTTAGTCTTCATGATGCTGTTTGTTCACTAATGTTCTCCAACAAACCTCTGAGGTCTTCACAATGGCTATTAGGTCCATGATTCATCCCATTAATTTATTAATCAAAAAATTATAAAAACATCAGGATGTGCTATTTTATTTTTTTGCTGCATCAAAAAAGTAAATTCACCATCTTTTTGTTTTCATCTTAAAAAACAAACAAACAAAAAAGTCTTATTTCACATTATATTTTATTTAGTTGTGCACTGCATTTCTCACTGTCACACATGACCAAACTGAACTGCTGCATTCACGCACCTTGTGAGAGGCTGCAGAGTTAGAGAGAGCATTTGTTAGGGTGATTTTCATTATTAGATAGAAATGAATATAATTAGTTACGGTTTTTATTATATAGCATACATAAGTCTATATACTTTAATCTCAAAGTTGTGTTTAAGTTTACGTAGTTACATATCACCCTATGTGTTCACTGAATCACTGGTCAGTATTTACTGTGTTAGCCAACTGGAGCACTGTTTAACAGCAAGGGGAACTGGTTCACTAAAACACTGAACCTCATTTGATTTACAGCTTTGGCAAAGAGGGTCCACAGTTGATTTATTATCACCACCTGGCTAATGGGCCGGGGGAGTTATAGTTTATTGCATCCTAGGATAGTGAAACAGAGATTAGATCTGAGGCCAGGAAGAGGAGAAAACTTCAAAGGTAGGACCATTACACTCACACAGGCAGAGCAGTTTTATTGGAACTGGAAAGCAATGTCTAACATGTAGCAGTTAGTTGGAAACAAAGAAAGAAGTAAGTGTCTATGTAGGAATTAAGACGGTATAGGTATTCCTCCCCTTTTAGGGCGCTGTCCACGACCATTGGAGCAGAGAGGATGATTGGAGGACGGACGGACTGAAGGACCAATAACGGGAGAGTTAAGTTTAAACCACGACTTCTCCCCAACAGTTTTGGACCAATCAGATAGTAACATCTTTCCATACAAATATTGTATACCGGCAAGTTGAGGACAGTCTTTCCTGTTTATCCTAAACAGTGAAGATCCATATGCACATGCTTATTTTGATACGTTAATGCATAATAAATTTCACATAGCGAAATATATATCTTTTTATTAGTCTTCTCTTTTCAAAATGAAAGAACTTTCATTACACATTTCACAGCCACTTTGAAAGTGAATTGTAAGGGGAACTTTTAGGGAATTCCAAAGAACATCTGAAAGCTACTG